ATGAATGGCAAAAAATAAGGGGCTTAGTGTTGAATGGGGTTAGGTACAACCCATGAGATATGTGTTTAAATGACAGGTCTATTAGTGTCTCATTCTCGAGGAGAGAGAGAGGGTGCACCATTCTTTTTTTTCTTAGCACTTCATGTGCCATGCAAAGCACGTAGAGCTTTGCTTCTTAAGCTCCGAAAGTGAGTAAGCTGTTGTGGGTGGGTTCTTTGTTTCGGTATTAGGGAACAATTTCTTCTCCTCTTTAATTTTTATTAGGGAACAGCTGGGCGTAGTTAAAATACTTTAAGGCATCAAATCCCAGCATTGAATGAGACGTTTATATTAGGAAGTTCTAGTGGCTAGGAAAGGGAATAGTGGGTGGGTTTTAACACTGAATATTTGGACTAAATAGAGTTATATTTTCGGATCTTTTAGAGATAAAAGGGAGTGGATCTTGAGTGGTATTTTAGGTTAAACCTGAGAGGAAAACGCGCAACAACTGTGAGGGAGTGGGAGCAAAGGATTCTCTGCTTCATACACCATAGCTTGAACGTAGTGAGTGAGAGGTAGAGGACCATGAGACCCAAGGAGAAGGAGGGGGTCGTTGTTGCTGTCACAAGAGAGGGGAGACCATCCAAGCATCACTTGGAATCAAAGAACTCCTAGTGAGTCTCTGGAAAGCGAGGTAAGGGGAGTAACCATTTTTGTGTTTCTGTGATTGGGGTTTGTGATGAACAAATGCTTATGTAGTAGTTGTCTTGGTCCTGTTTGGACTACAAGTGTATGGTTATATTCCCTTATATGTTCAAACAGTTTCCCCATTTTGCTTCTTTTAGTTCTTTTGTCTCTTCACATGAAAGTTTTCGCTTGACCCTACGTTGGGCATCAAAATATTTCTGGTGTAAGGTCAAGGGTGGTCTTTTGCTTCTATGTTATCCTTTGTGCATTCTGATGAGTTGTCTCCTATCGATCAGTAGGTACATTAAAAGTGCTCTAATGCTAAAGTCATCTTAAGTTCAATCATTAAGATATTAATGTTATGAAAAAAGTGTAATAAAAAGTCTTTACAATTATACCTTTGACATGTAATTATAGTTTTTATAACAGACTTTTGATTAGGATTGATCATATTATTATCTAATTTTTTTTTCTAAACCTCATTACTAACTTGTTTAAACTACTGGATGATTAACTAACTATAATCGTGATTGATTGATTTTATCCAAGCCTGAACAATCAATCACGTTATTTCTTTTAATATATTCCGTAGGTTACATATATTGCACTTACTTTTCTTCTCCCATATTTTGTTGTTTCTTATTCATATTACACTGTGATGTTAGCAATTTAGGGTCATTCATATATATATAACAAATCATTAAATTGAAGTTGTTAGAAAACACTAGATTGGGGGAGGGGGTCGAATAGTGTTTTCATAAATATTTTTCGTTTTCTTGAAAACTAAGCATGATATACGTAACACTTATGAGTTAGTTGTACTTTATTTATAAACACAATTCTGTGAAGATCATTTACTGGACTAACTCAATATGTTCCAAAGATATCTAGGTAGTAGCTCGTTGAAGATGTAAATGCTAGGTAAGAACTTAATGTTGACTTGAGTGCGTACTATGATCACCTTCATTAAGATCCAAATGTGTGCTGAAAAGACTACTCCACACAAACAATTTTTATATTGGTTCACTTGTTAGAGCTACATCAAGGTCTCCTCTAAATTAACTTAGAGGGTTTCATTAAATATTCAATGAGGTACAGTTGAGTGTTTTAAACCACTCTTGGTGTTCCTAGTCATATTGAGTAACCACTGTTACTCATGACTAGTTGAGTTCTACTCAATCCTGATTGCGTAGTACTATTCGCCACTCTTGGTATCTCTAAACGCTTTTAGTATCACTCTGATACATCGTCCACTTCTGGTTGTGACCACTCTAGTATCCCTAATTAACGAATAACCTCCAGTTACCCTTACCACTCCTGGTATCCTCAATCAATGAGTAGTTGTTAATTACGCTAGACTAGATGAGTATTCACACCACTCCTGGTATTCTCAGTCAACGAATAACTTCCTGTTACCCTAGACTGGATGAGTATTTACATCACTACTGGTATCTTCAGTCAGCGAATAACCTCTTGTTACCCTAGACTGGATGAGTACCCGCACCACTTCTGGTATCCCTAGGCTCTGTTGGTATCGACCGATACACCGCCTAGATGAGTTTCACCCACTCTTACTCTAAAACACAAAACAAGAGAGTATACACTTAGTAAGAAAGAGATTTGTGTGTATTTTCTTTTTGAATTTTAAAATTGTAGTTGTTGCTTTTTGGACTTGTAATATTTGGCCTTGTTAGGATGTGTCTTAACAAGAACATTGGACTTTGATTAATTTTGCGTTTTATAGTTGATAAGTTTGAGGGAACCAAAGTTCCTTCTAACTTCACCATTAGGCTGCATAGATTAGCTTTAATTGCTTTCTTTAATTGTGATAGTCTAGTGTGTGTCAACTTTTATTTCAAGTTTAAATCCCTTTGAGAAGTTTGATACAAGAGAACTTGAGGTAAGTTTTGGCTAGGAAAGACTTGGTTTTTAAGCAATCCATAGTGATTCACCTCTCTTTCCTGGATGTGAACTTAAGTTGCTCTTGTCTCCTTAAGTCTCTTAAGGAATTTTATTTTAAATAATAAATTTGTTTGCATAAGCCATTTTGAAAATCTTAAAAGTGTCTAGGATTATTTGTAAATTTTTTTTTTCAAAATTCTTTTGAAACAAATGAGTTTTTATATTAGCTTGCATTTAAGTCATGGTGAGGATGAGCTACATTATAAAGTTAAGAGTGACCTTCCCTTCTTTGGTGAGAATACTAGTGCATTATCATACCTAGCATGAGAGAAATGAATAGAAGAACTTCATTCATTCCTAGTTAGGCATGGTAAATATCATATACTTAGTTTATCCATCTCTAGGCTTGTAGGACATGCAAGTGAATGATGGAATCAAAGCAATATAAGGTTGAGAAAGGTAAAAAATCTCCAATTAAAGATTGGTGCGACTTGAGAGTAGGCATGAGAAGAAAATTTGTTCTTTCTTTCCTTGTAATAAAATAAAAGAAAATATGTGAGATGAGAGAGATAGAAAAAAAAGAAAGAGTTGAAAGAAAACAATATCTTGATACCTTAGAAGAAGAGCTTAAAATCCTTAATGAAAAACAAGAAAAATTCCAAAAGAATTTAAGAAAGATTAAGAAAGAGAGGAAGACAAAAGAAGGAAGAAAGAACAAAGAGAGAATGAGGAGCATGAGAAAAGAGAGAAAGAGGAGCAAGTAAGAAGAGAGAGAAAGGAGAAGGAAAGAAGTCCAAGCAAAGAGGAATAAGGCGGATGGCGTTGAGCGGCAACGTGTTTTCCTTTTACTTTTCCGAACATGTATTTCGTGCATCTTCTAAAATATGGCACATTTTCCATGCTTTGCCACGTGGATTAAGATCCATATATTATGACTTTCATCAGCACTGTACAACTCTAGGTGAATCTCCTATAAATTCACCTTAGCTTCACTTGTAAATCACTTTTGGAATATTTGAGAATTTTTGTTGATGCAATTTCCAGCCATGTTCTCTACAACCAAGAGTCATTCCCTTGCTTCCTCATTCACCCCTATAGCTTCCTTCCTTGATGGATGACTGTCTGAGCTATAGCCACTTCACTTAAATCACTTCACCCTCTCTGATAGGAGACTAAAAGTCTATGAGAGAAGAAGGAAGAGTTAGTAGAGTTAGTTACTCTAACTGTCTTAACAGTTACAAAGGGCGCGGGTTAGACTTGTATATATAGGAAGTAGTTATCTGCTGAAAGACACTTTTGACTACTTGTATTCTTTGTACATGATTCGTTATTCATGTGGGGGGGAGGTTAGGCTCCCATAGCTGCCCTGTATCTGAATTTCTTGCTGTTAATAATACGTGTGGAGGTTATTCAGTGTTCAGTCGTGTGTTAGTGAGATTTTCTTTAGGTTTCTTGATTGGAAACCTAACAATTTGGTCCGACCTGTCAGATCCAAATTTGGGGGGATGACGCGTGAAATGGAGAGTGCGACGGAGGCGAGATTTGAAGCGATTGAGATAACGATGGAAGGGATGAAGGCGGAATCGGCGGCGGTACGGCGGGACTTACAACAAATCATGAAGATTTTGGGTAAGCAAGCCGATCAGGCAGAAGGGAGTTCCGATGATAGTTCCGTAAAGGACAATCGACAAAGAGTGGTGAGAGAGATTGGAGGCGGAGGAACCGGTGTTGGGAGTGACAAACAGAAACCGTGGAGGAAAAGGGTGGAGTTACCCACTTTTGACGGTGCGGAACCCCTAAGTTGGCTCAATAGAGCCGAGAGATTTTTCAATATACAGAAGGTGTCGAGCGACGATGAGAAAGTTGAAATTGCGTACGTAAGTATGGAGGGGAGTGCGGCGTATTGGTTCACCTTTTGGAAGGAAAAAGCAAGAAATCGATCATGGGAGGGACTGAAGGTAGCCATGATCAACCATTTTGGAGGAGGTTTTAGGGGAACGATGTTCGAGAGGCTGGCGACCTTACGCCAGACGGGTACGGTGGAGGAGTTCGTTCGTGATTTTGAGGTGTTGATGGGTCAGACGAGGGGCATACCTGATGAGCAGGTATTGGGTTACTTGCTTGCGGGATTGCGTGACGATGTGAAGGGCCAGGTGCAAATTCAAAACCCATCGGAGTTGATGGAGGCGATGCGGATTACTCGGGATGTCGAGGGGGCTATCATGCAAGCACAAGGAGGATACGGGAATGGGTTCAAATTTAACCTACTGGCAACACGATCAACGGGGAGTGTGCTGCGATCAAAACCCAGTCGAAACACTACGCCGCAAATGGGGAGAGCGGAGAGTACATGATCGGTGAGAAGGGATGGTGCGACGACACATGCAAGTGCGAGAATAAGTCAACCAGTCGGGAACGAAAACAGAGGATGGATGGTGAGAAATCTACCATATCCAGAATTTCTCAAAAGAAAGGAAGAAGGCCGGTGCTTTCGTTGTGGGGGACCATTTGCACCCGACCATAGGTGTATTGAGAAGAGCCTGCGTGTGTTGCTGTTAGCGGAGGATGAGGAGGAAGATGCATTCGAAGAAATGGGTAGCCTAGAGGAGAAACCCATGGAGTTATCAGCCTGCTCCGCTGAAGGGTTAACAACACCCAAGACCCTGAAGCTGAGAGGAAGAATTGGAGAAAGGGAAGTAGTGGTGCTCATAGATAGTGGCGCAAGCCACAATTACATTAGACGGAAGTTGGCGAAGGAGTTAGAACTACCTACGATTGATACGCGGCCATATTCGGTTAGTTTAGGGGACGGGCACAAGAGGGTGACGCGTGGCCGCTGTGAGAAAATCAGAGTGGAGTTGGGAGAAGCCACAGTAGAGGAGGAGTTCTTTGTTTTCAAACTAGGGGAAGTGGATGTCATTTTGGGCGTTGCATGGCTGGGAAGATTGGGTGAAGTAAGAGTTAAATGGGGGGAGATGACCATGATCTACAACGTGGAAGGCAGGAAGATTAAGATAAGGGGTGACTCAACGTTGGCGCGACAACTGGTGGAGCCCAGAACTTTATCCAAGATAGTGGATGCTGAGTCATGGGCATTAGTGTGGAGTCTGAATGTGGTGGACCAGGAGAGGGGTGACGGGTGGCAAGGTGATTTGACGGGAGAGCAGAAAGCAAAGATGGAGGTGCTGTTGCAGGCGCACTATGGCGTTTTCCAAGAAACAAAAGGGTTACCCCCATCACGTGACAAGGAGCATCGAATTACACTTAAGGAGGGAGTGGATCCTATAAATGTCTATCCCTATAGGTATCCTCACTTTATGAAAAGCGAAATCGAGAAGCAAGTTGCAGACATGACGAAGGCGAGGCTCATCCGACCCAGTTCGAACCCATTTTCCAGTCCCGTAATATTGGTGAAAAAGAAGGACGGTAGTTGGCGTTTCTGTGTAGACTACCGAGCCGTAAACAGGGCCACCGTCCCTGATAAATTTCCCATTCCAATCATAGAAGAGCTTTTGGACGAATTGAAGGGGCCGAAGTACTTCTCCAAAATTGATCTAAAAGCTAGTTACCATCAGATCAGAATGAATGAAGACGATATACCCAAGACTGCTTTCCGCACTCACCAGGGTCATTTTGAATTCCTGGTGATGCCCTTCGGACTCATGAATGCGCTAGCCACGTTTCAAGGAGCGATGAATAAGCTGTTCTAGAATTATCTCAGGAAATTCGTGCTAGTTTTTTTTTACGATATACTAGTGTACAGCCCCACATGGAGAGACCACTTAGAGCAGCTGGAGTTGGTGCTAAGAATACTTGAACAGCAACGTTGGGTAGCAAACCGTAAGAAGTGTGAATTCGAGAAGCAACGAATTCGCTATCTTGGCCACCAAATTTCTGCAATAGGGGTCGAAATGGATGGGGATAAGGTGAGAGCAATGTTAGAGTGGGGCGAACCGAGGAGTTTGAAGGAGTTGCGTGGGTTCCTGTGCCTCACAGGATACTACAGGCGTTTTGTATTGGGATATGGAAAGATAGCAAAACCACTGACCGATTTATTGAAGAAGGGTCAGTTTGCGTGGTCAGAACCAGCAAGCACCGCCATGGCCAAGTTAAAAGCAGCTTTGACCACGACTCCCATTTTGGCATTACCCGATTTCCAGCAAGCTTTCCACATAGAATGTGACGCCTCAGGTGGGGGCGTAGGGGCGGTGTTAACTCAGGAGGGTAGACCCATTTCTTTCTATAGCAAAGCATTATCTGAAGGGTCACTGAACAAATCAATTTATGAAAAAGAATTGATGGCTTTAGTCATGGCCATTCAGCATTGGCGTCCCTACTTAGTCGAGAGAAGGTTTATTGTTCATACGGATCAGCAAAGTCTAAAATACTTCCTGGAGCAGCGGATAGTCACCCAAAACCAACAGAATTGGTTGGTTAAATTGATGGGGTATGATTTTGAAATCGTCTACAAGAAGGGGAGCACAAATAGAGCGACAAATGCTCTATCTCGGAGAGAAGAGGGTAATACGGAGGCAGGGGAGTTGAACTTGCTATCTAGGCCATTCTGGCCAGATTTTAATGAAGTTTTGAAGGAAGTGGAGGAGGATGAATTATTGAAAAGGCTGATTCATGATATTAAGGAGAACCCCGATAGTCATCTGGCTTATACACTAGAGAATGATAGGGTGCACTACAAGGGTCGAATGGTGATATCTGCGAGTTCAGCATGGATTCCTAAGTTGCTAGTTGAATTCAACGTAACTAAAACAGGAGGCCACTCTGGAATTTACCGCACTTATAGAAGAATCGCCCAGTCATTATATTGGGTGGGTATGAAGAAGATGGTTACCGATTACGTTGTTAGGTGTGAGGTGTGTCAGCAGCATAAATACTTGGTTGCTTCCCCTCAAGGGCTGCTACAACCTTTACCTATTCCACAGGTGGTATGGGAAGAGGTGAGCATGAATTTAATAGTTAAACTTCCAAAATCACACGGCCATGACGCGATTCTTGTGGTTGTAGACAGATTGAGCAAATATGGCCATTTCATTGCATTAAAACACCCTTACTCGGCCAAGACAGTAGCAGAAATATTTGCAAGGGAGGTAGTAAGATTGCATGGGATCCCCGTGTCGATTGTGAGTGATCGAGACCCCATATTCTTAAGCATATTTTGGAAGAAATTGTTTAAGTTGCAAGGAATGCAGCTCAAAATGAGCACTGCATACCATCCCGAAATGGATGGGCAGACGAAGGTGGTGAATAGGATTGTTGAGGGATACCTGCGTTGTTTCTGTTCGGAACAACCAAAGGGGTGGTATGAAATGTTGTCTTGGGTAGAATACTCGTACAATACCAGTTACCAGATATCAGCACGTTGCACACCGTTTGAAACAGTGGTAGGCCCCCCATCATTCAGCAGATTTATTCCCGGAGAAACGGCTGTGGAAGCGGTGGCACAAGACTTGATGACGCGTGATGAGGCACTTAAACAATTAAAATTCCATTTAAGCAGGGCCCAAGACAGAATGGCGCACCAGGCCAACAAGAAAAGAAAGGAGATCAGCTTTAAGGAAGGTGATATGGTCTACTTGAAAATTAGACCTCATCGCTAGGCCTCCATGTCGAATAGAATACACCCCAAGCTTTCGGCCAGATATTTTGGACCGTATCAAGTGTTGCAGAGGGTGGGAAAAGTGGCCTATAAACTCAAACTACCAGACTCAGCTCGTATACATCCAGTATTTCACGTGTCTCAACTAAAACAAGCGGTGGGTGACAAATTGGCAGAGAAGGAATTACATGTAGAACTGCAGGAAGAAGGGCCAACCTTTTGGCCAATCAGGATTATAGAAGAAAGGCAGCTACAACAAGGAGAAGATGTAGTACACCAAGTCCTGGTCGAATGGCAAGAAGGTGGGAGAGAAGGCGCTACATGGGAAGATAGATTGGTCATCCAAGACCAATATCCGGAGCTCAATCTTGGGGCCAAGATTGTTGAAGAGGGAGGGGATAATGATAGGAGAATAAGAGTCTATGAGAGGAGAAGGAAGAGTTAGTAGAGTTAGTTACTCTAAATGTCTTAACAGTTAGAAAGGGCGCGGGTTAGACTTGTATATATAGGAAGTAGTTATCTGCTGAAAGACACTTTTGATTACTTGTATTCTTTGTACAAGATTCGTTATTTCTGTGGGGGGAGGTTAGGCTCCCATAACTGTCCTGTATCTGACTTTCTTGCTGTTAATAATACGTGTGGAGGTTATTCAGTGTTCAGTCGTGTGTTAGTGAGATTTTCTTTAGGTCTCTTGATTGGAAACGTAACACACTCCAAACAACCAACGATCTACACCTTCTCCACTGTCAGTTTCCAACTACTTCTGCTGATCCAGATTTCACGAAGGATTTGCTGAATTCTACACCTGAACGACGCTATCAAGTGATATTCAGAGCCATGACATTTCTCCGTACAAATAAGTCCAGTTACTTGGTTTTCCTACACTGTCATTTCCTTCTTTTATCTGTTTCGATTTGTAGTGTTCTGTCCATTAAATCTGCCATCTCTAGTTGTTGTTTTTAGGACTCTGTTTCGTTCATTTTTTTTTCTGTCCAACTTTCTTTGCTTTGTTGATTTTTTCATTTTCAATCGGACCACTTTATAGTTGAGTCAATTTTATTTGATTAATATGTCCAGTTTTGTCAAGTCATGTGCAGTATGCATTACTTTTGATTGTCATAAATTCTGAGTATTCAACTGCTTATTTTCTTTGTTCTGTGCATTAAGAAAATCTGGATTGTGAATACATTGTGCCCATCATCAAAGAGCTGTGAAATTCGATGAAATGAGCTTGATGAAAAATCTGCATTCCGATTTTGGAATTTAAATCACTGCATTTGAGCTGAATGAATAAATCTAGTATTGTTTCATTGGTTGTCAATTCTATTTGAGCAAATCTGTGAAGAGTTTTCTGCTGGCCAAACTCAATTGCATACCATATGAGCCATGAAATGCTTAGGCATAGCTTGGATGCATTGAGAAATTTTCAGCAGCATTCTTAAAAGCAGTTGGCCGATCTGCACTTTATTTGTTGAGGTCATTTTTGTGTTTTAAATCTGGGTTGAGCATATAGATCTTTGCTAACCAACCAATACGTTTTTCTGCTATTTTGAGAAACTTTTAATTATTGTTCTGGAGTCTAATTCATTGTTCCAAGTCTGTTTAAAGTGTTGTTTCAAAATTTGGATATTAGAGTTGTTGGTTTTAATTTGCACATGAACTGGATATACCAAACTGTTATATAACTTGAATTTGTCAAGCAAAATAATTCAAACAAGTTTATATTCATCAATCAAACATGTTTGTTCAAAGCTAATATGATTCTAAATGGTTTTGTGAATTTTCACTAGCCAACTCATCCACTTTTAAGCACTTTTCTGGTTCAAATCAATTGCTGCAGCAGAATTATACTGTTTTTGAAGATTGATTTGGTGTATTGAACATTGTTTGTAAGTTGTAGCAAAATCTTGAGTCCATATAAAAGAATTAAAACATTCAAAAGAATTGGAATGAAAATTAAAAAGCTACTTAAACCAGTGCAACAAGTTTTCGAATTCTGCAAAATGCCAAGTCAAAAACTATGCACCAAACTGCATTGTCATTGAGACATTTTCACAAACAGTTTGTAGCATTTGTATTACACCTTTAATTTGAACTTAATTTTTGACTTGTGGTCTTTTATTGCATTGTTAATTCATTCTATAGCTAATCATAGGATCCATTTGAGGTGCCTCCTTGATTGCTACCAATTATTTGCTTGCTTTTTGAGTTCTTGGCTATCTTGCACACAATGTTTGATAAAAGGGCTTGTACTGCTGTCATTTTTTAGTCTACTTTCTGGCAGTGTCACAGTTTATACTGGCCTTTTACTGGTGTTGTGGTGATCTGTTTAAAGTGCTTTATGTAGGTGCAATATAGCCAGACTTCTATACATCCAAGGTAGCCTCATAGGAAGTGGAGTGATTGTGGAATCAAGTGTTGAATCCAACTCTGGTGCAGTGGTCTTCTCGGCCAGAACTTGTCCAAATCTGTGAACTTGGTGCAGCAATAGAATTCACCAGTGGCATCTGCGAGATTAGTTTAAACTAGCCTAGTTTCTATATTTTGAGAAGCCAAAGCTGCATTACTACATTTTCCCTTCCCTTTTGTGTACCTTGTAATTGTTCCATCATTTTCAATTCCTTGTAATTGGCTATTAAGCAAGTGACTTGGAAGAATTCTCAAGTGTTCTTCCATCACTTGCAAACTTTGTTTTTATTTGCTTCATTTAAAATTGGTAGATAGTGAGTGTGTCTTGGATCCAAAGTTCCAAGCCTCACTTAGCAGATCTCACATCTTTCAATTCTTACACGCACATAGGTAAAGTCTTAGAAGTCTGACTTTAGAGTCTAGGTTTTTCCCCTTCTTTGTCTTTTTTGTCTTTAGACTTTTAGTGGATTTAGAGGTAATTTTGATTTAAGGAATTCTAGCAAGTAACTAGGAGCATATTTGGCAAGGCAAGACTTGGTACTTAAGCAACCTATAATACCTCTCTTACCTGGAATATTGCTCTTAAGTGAAACCTCTTATTCCATACCTGAAGAAATGATGGAAGACCATCTAAGACACACATTGGACCTCTTACTAGAGCCATGGCAAAGA